AAAAAGCCAGAGCTCCCTATGGTCTTCTCGGATTGTAAAAGGGCCTAAATTATAGCAGGAAAACTGACCTTTCTAGACCTTCTGGATGACTTCCCAATTCTGCTCATTTCCAAGTAGAACTATTCTTGTGACTTAAGGTTTGAAGTCTTCTGCTTCCATCTTACCCTGAGGCTGATAGTAGGAAGAGGAAAGGGATTTATAGGGTTTTGTAACAACCCCTCAAAGTCATGCCCTTACTGGGTAACTGTCCAATTAGGAAGTTTGGGGAACATTTCTTATAGTCAGACATGAGCAAGCACTAGGGTCTGGTCAGCTGGCCTTGAGGATTCTGTGAGTGCTGAGCTTGGAGAAACAGGACTCTTTCAAACACTGGACTCCACAGTGTCCTTGCTTCTGATGGACTCCCCATCCCCCAAGGCAGGAAGGAGATAAACTGAGACTTCCTTTGCCTCCCTGCTCATCTCCCAACACTCACTTCTCTTGCCCCTTGCACCCATTTCCCGATTACCGTTCTTCAGCTTCAGCCTAGTCAGCTTCTACTTCTGCTGGGAAAGTCAACCCAGTGTAGCTTTCTGTAAACCACTTAAGGATTCCAGCCATACTTCCCAGTCTAGCTGCTGGGCCAGTCCCCCTGCTTTATTCTAACCATGGACTGATCCCTTTCCTGTCCATTTGGTGAATTGCCAAGTTTAGCTTAAAACAAAAGTCTAAGCCTATGAAAAATGCAAGAACCTCTCTTTCTGCTCTTTGTTCAATCACATGATGGTACACACTAGATTTCATCTTAGCTGTGAAAAATGACCCATTATAAATTGGACCCATTTAATGAAAGGCCTGCTTTAGTCCTGGGGGAGGCACAGGTTGCTGAGAGCCTTAGAAGGTATTGCTGCTGCCACTTAACTTTTTCTCTTTATTTCCCCTTTCCTGCCAAGATTTTCCTTTATTCTCCTCCTTTCTCTGGTTTCTGACCCCACCCCCCTTTCCATCCTCTTCCTTTTAGCTACTCTTCTCTCCATCTCCCCTGGCTTTTCTTTCTGGCCCAGAAACAGTGGGGATGCAAAGACCTGGAAATCCTGAATTTTCCCCTGGGGACACAGCATCTCTTGCTAGTAACCTTTATCACCTGGTCGTTGCCAGGGCTCTTTTCTGAGTCACTGCCTCCCAGTACTCCTGAAGAGAGAAGCCCACTGTGACAGAAATGCAGATTGGTCTTGTAGAGTGTAGGTCAGACATCCTGCAGAGAGCAGGCAGGCTAAGATGGAAGAGGACAGCTGTGTGTGTCCTGAAAGGATGGCGCTCCTCTTAGAGTGCCATCAGCCTCTGGCACCCCAGCCTCTAAACAGCAGCTCAGGACATTGGAGCTGACTAGGCCTGGCAGTGGGCTCTTTAGATGTTTTTCATGCCTTGTGGTGTACAAGGATTCAAAGCCCTGTTCTTCTGAGCTGCTTGTCCCATTAGTAAAGTCGACTCTTAGGCAGGAACCAAAATGCACCAGGCCAGTTCCCTAGCTGCACCAAAGCCAGATCTTTCCCAAGGTGCCTGCCTGTTGCTAGGAAACTATACACTGGTACTGTGGGCCTCCCTCACCCCCCCCCAACAACTCAAACCCCAAGGGTGCATGGACTGCAGCCAATGAACTCTGTAGCTCTGCCAGGAGCCCTTGAATTTTATCCTTAAGACTCCCAGCATCCTCAAAGGAAGTAAGAATCACCCCACTTCCCCCCCAAACATGAAACTGAGAAGTGAAAACCAAAGGCCGTTGTACCATCCCCTTTTATTATCAAAGTGTACAACTGCCACACACAGAGCTGTTGCCCACAGAAGCCTTTAAATGCCTATCAGGACAGAACTGCCTTTAGCTCCACTGTAGGAAATTCGTCCCTCCCTTTTGTGACTGGGAACACATAAAAATGTCCTCCTCACTCTTCCCATCCTGGAGCCGGATGTAAAAGGGCAGAGTACCACACCCCCAACACAGAGATCTGGTCCCTGGTGGGTTTTTGCTCTCCTCTCCTATTAAGACGACAGTGTTCTTAGTTGAAGAAAGCAGCAGAAGAGGAGGGAGGGAGAGAAGGAGAAAGAGTTCTGGGGCGTGGAGCATAAAACTAGGGAATCATGATATTGATGTCTTAAAAACACATATTTTCTTGGAGGAAGGAAAAAATGGAGATTTTAGAAAGGAATCTGGCTTGAGTCCACTACCTCAAGTTGTTTTGCCTTGAACGGCTCTGCAGGTTGTATGACCCTGTCATTCCTTTATTCAAGATGAAATAATGGGTGGGGTGGGGGAGGACGGGGAAGATTGCAGCCACAGTCTCTTCTCAGTCCTAATATTAAGTGTTAAGGGACAGACATTTCAGTGTCTCAAGTAAGGGTTAGAGACCTGGGCAGTGGTCAGGATTGGGGATGAGGAGAATCAGCCAACTGGTCTCAGGCTCCAGAAACCTCATGTTGAGGCTGACTCTAGATTGCTCCAGACCTGGAAAAAAGATATGATAAAGGTATGGGACCTTCCCAAACAGTACTTGAACTCTTGAGAAATTTTGGTTTCAGTGGGTGTTTTTTAATATACCAGTTTCTCCTAGAGTTGAGACACAACAGAAAATTATCATTCTCCAGCCCTGTTTGTTGGCTTATGTTTGCTTTTCTGGAGAGCCTACAACCGGCCTCTTGCCTCTTGCCATCCCTGTAGCCCCCTCCAGCCTTCAGGGCTCAGCTATGCTCCGCCATTGGAGCAAGGCAATGGTCCCCACGAGGTGTGACCGTATTCTTTGAAAATAGGTATTATTTTAAAACATGCCAAGTTCATCTTACATACTCCTGAAGTTATAGTCACTCATTCAAAATTTGAGTACCTACTACTTGTCAAGCTCTATTCTGAGCTCTAGGGGATAGAACAATGAAAGAGACAGGCCAACTCTTCTAGAGCAGGGAAATCATTAGGGTCCAGGTGGCAAATGACTCCTAACACACCAGTTCACCGGGTATTTAAATCCAAATCCACTCCCTTCTCCAAGACCACCAAAGTTAGCCGGCACAAAGTAAAAACGAATCTTCGGTGTCTCTGCAACCTGACAGATTGTTCCTCCCTCTTATCCATGCCTCTGTTCTTTGTTTCTCTCCAACCAACCCCGCCCTTGGGGTTGGTGGGCTACACTTAAGATGAAATCAAAACTGTCGGACTTAGATTAAGACTCCAGATCCAGCCCTGGCCGGGTGGCTCAGTTCATTGGAGTGTGGTCCCGTGTACCAAAAGATTCAGGGTTTGATTCCCAGTCAGGGCACATACTCAGGTTGCGGGTTCGATTCCCAGTCAGGGTGGGTATAGGAAACATTCAATCAATGTTTCGCTCTTTCCCTCTCTCTCTCTAAAAATCAATAAAACACATCCTTGGGTGAGGATTTTTTTTAAAAAACGGCAGATCCAAGAAAGCCACTTAACCTCTCTGACCTTAGTTTTTGTTTTGTTTTTTATGAGATGGGCTCTGTGATATATTCTTGTAGCAAAGACTTTCCCAGGTATTAGTGAATTAACCTCAAATGTTAAGGCCCAAACTACCTTTTTTTAAAATTTTTTAATTTTTTTAAACATACCTTTATTGATTTCAGAGAGAGGAAAGGAGGGGGAGAGAGAAAGATAGAAACATCAATGATGAGAGAGCCATTGATCGGCTGCCTAGCCCGCAACCTGGGCATGTGCCCTGACCAGGAATTGAACCCCGATAGCCTGGATCCTAGGTCGATGCTCAACTGCTGAGCCACACCCGGCCGGGCCCAAACTACCTTTTTGAAGACTAGCTGGGATGCTATTACCATAGTCAGGGAGAAGTATTGAAGGCCTGAGTTATAAATGTGGAAAAGGGGTTCAAAGGGAAGGGTAGGAGGAGTCCAACATATCTGAGAAAGTGGGACCAGCCCAGTTTCATGCCCCTCAATAACTTTGTGAGGTTTTAGGAGCTGTTGTTCCAAACAGAAACAAACTTGGTCTATATTCACTTTTAAATAACTGACTTTGAGGAATTGCAATCCCACTGCCCAAACTGATACTGTTTTATTTTCATTACACAGCATTCTGGTGTCTTTCCACCCTCCCCTCCCTCTGGACTTTCTGATGAGCCCCAGTCTGCCTCTCCTTCACCCAGCTACATGTGGTCCTCCAGCGCACCACCTCGCTACTCTCCACCCTACTACCCGCCTTTTGAAAAGCCACCACCTTACAGCCCCTAAAGAGGAATGCCTGCTGGCTATCGGGATTATTGTGGCTTTTGTATTTCTGCTTTAGTGGAAGTGTATAGGGTACACAATTTAAAGTGTGATTCTTATGCATAGTTTCAGGTCTTACAACGGCCTGCCAGGCTAGGGAAAGATAGCAATGAAGCTTATTCGTTATGTGCCAAGCAAGGGTGGCTAGGCTGAACCCAGGACTTCCATGAAGAACAGTGCACATGCTGTACGCAAGGCTAGGGAGCCAGCCCAGCAAAAAGACTGTCATGTTTGGACCTGCATCACCCTATGGCTCTGCCTCTGCATTCAGCAGAAGAGTGGTTGCCATCTGTTTCATTTTGTGTAAATGGAGTGTTGTCCTCAGGCCCTTGGCAGATTGCCCCCCTAGTACTTTGGTTGAAGTACCTGGCTTATAGGCCCTATCTTTCCCTACCACTAAAGTTGGTTCCTAAGGAAAATTTCCCAGATGATGGAGCTACACAGTAGTTCCAATGCAGAGAGTTCTGACTGGGATTTCGTTTGCTTGTGCCTGGATGTTGAAAAAAGCTGCCCATATCTCTTTCTTCTTTGAGTATTGTAAAATGGCTGTCGTGATCATTCAGCTCAGCTTTTGCTATTGGTACCTCCCAAAGGGAAAAGTGCAATATTCACTTGAGTGGCGGGAAGCAGGGTTGATTGTTCCAGAAGCACTGAAATACAGAGAGCAACATGTGAGATGTTTCACGATCTGTTACGCATCTGATAACTTAGGAGACAGTGGTCCTACTACATGTTGCAGTATTACAAAACACAATTGCTACAGACATAAATCTTATGGTTAAAATTCAGAATTAAAATGCTAGATTAGGTTCTTGGGTCGTGACATGAATTGTTACTAATCTTTGTGACTATTTAATCTTCAAATATTGTGCTTCAACCCCAGCAAACCGCACGTATCCTGCACCCTACCCCAAAAGAATCATCTGTGTTTAATGCCACTGCTCTTATTGGTCCCTTTTTCTGTTGAGACCAATCATGAAAGTGTCCAAGACTGTGAAAGTGTTACAATGCCGCTTTAAATCTGCAAAACCTCAAATGTAGCCAACTTGACAAATTCTTGTGTTATTGTAGATTAAAAATTCATCTGGCACATTGTGGTAGGTATCTGTACAATTCTTTTAATTAGGCATAGCTTGAAACCATCGACCTGATGGATTTAACACTTTGGCACTCATTACTTCACTTCAAAATGAACACTTTCATTGCAATCTTATGTTAACCTGAGGATTGATTTAAAGAAAGGTTGATAATCCTACACTTTATCATGTAAAAATACAGGGGCTATAGGAGGGTACCTAATTAGACAGTTCTGCAAACAGAACACATACTGGAAAATTTTCCAGCCAATTTAGCTACCTCCCAATGTGATGGATTAGAGGTAGCAAGCAAATGCTGGTGCTCCCATCTACCTTGCAGACACCCAGCCATCAAGAATGATCAAGGCACAACAAGTGCATTCACTGTTCACAGTAAATGTTTGCAAGACATTCAGTTTAACTTTCAGCACCATGAATGATGTCTCATCTAGATTTCAAATATGGAAAACTATAATCCTTTTGTGTTATATAAAATTACTATTATTTTCTATAATTCTGAGCATATTAAAATTCTATTGGATTTCAAAAAGGGACTAATAACCAATTGACTTACAATACAAATATCAACTTGTAATAATGGAAATTTTTGCTGTTTACACTGTAACTTTTGCTTTAGTGAATATTTAATTTTTTTAAAGGCATCATTACACAGTATATCCTACATTTATCACATTTCTTAAAGTGTTAAGATTCTATGACTCATTTCTATGGATTTTTCTTACTTTACAAAATAACTTGAAACAGTACAGATTTTGTAACACTTAATTTGAGCAGCTTCTTTTTTTATTACATCAAATTATATGAAGTGCATGTTACCTTAGAAAGATTAATATTTGCTGCTTTACTCTTTTGCAAAACATTTGCTGTAATGAAGGAATTTGTATTTCCAATATGTACCTTGACTGTATTTTGTAATCTTGACTGCTTTATTCCTAATTCTGCTTTAAAGTATCGAACTGGGCATGAAATATTAAAATATTAATCCAGAACCTATAAACTGGATGTTGCTTAAAATCTTTATCACTGCCATGTTGGAAACCCAGACTGCTTTTGTGATGTTTCAAATTAATAAAAATGTCCTTCTCCGTATCCACTTACATAAGTCTTCATGGAATCTAAAAGTGTCACAAACATTCTAACGCAGTGATTTTCAACCCGTGTGTCACAAGAATTTCTAAAACATGCAACACCTGACTATTTAGTCAGGGACACTGACCTCTTTCCCCTTAAACTGTCATACACAAAACTGACAACAGCCAACACAACAACAGCTGTCCAGTGTGAATGAATCAACATTATAACTATTTTTTGTCAGACTGGCAAAAAATGTATTTTGAGGTGTGCCGCAGAATTTTAATAATTAGTTTACGTGTGCCGTGAGATGAAAAAGGTTGTCTAAAGTGACAGCAGCAGCCGACTCACTTTTTACTATTAGGGTTCAAAATAGTTTGGGAATGCAAATAACCAACATATAAAACCTAATGGAGAATTCTGTCATGCTGTCATCAGATATATAGCTCCCATCTCCTGCTATAAAAATTGAAAAACAGCAGAATATAAAGGTTTATATAACTTCTGATAGTCTTGTAAAAAATGCACTCAAAAATCACAATTAAAACATTTTATTTTTGCCATATGAATCTCTACGAACTAATATCAGGTAACAGTTAATGAAAAGTAGAACTTAAAGTCATGAAGATTGTACAAGTATGAGTATTATAGCATTAGGTGGAAATGAACAAGGTTTCGTATGATTGACAGAGGTGAGAAAGCCAGTGCTGTTGAATAGCAATTAATTCTTTAGATTATACATGCCTTGACCATACAAAATACCTTGGATCATTTTTACCATTTGTTTTATCTTTTTGGTACAATAGGAAAAAATGTAGCATTAATTCCTCATAGTAGTTGCATGTGGAGAATCATTACCACCAAAATGATGATCATTTATAAAATAGATTTTAAAGGTTCCCTTTAAAATCTATTTTAAAATTGCCATGGCATTTAAATATCTTTGCTTAGTTTGAGCAGTTTCACTTTCTGTCATCTAACAAATTGCTATTTCGAACAGTTCCTATCCAGAATATTTATAGGTAATTTATCATAGAACCAAATTTGAAGCCAACTTGAAAGAAAAAGTGAAGTTCAATAGCCAGAAAACTAAGTATAAAATAAGAAAACCCCACGATAAGTTTAAAACAGTGTCTTGCTGCAGATTTCCAACCCAGTAAATACTGGGAGTAAATACTAGAATACTCCACATTTATTCCAAACTTTGAATAAACTTCTAGAAAAACTGAAGACCATGACATACATGCAAGTAAGAGTCTTCTGGCAAAAATACAATCTAATTTTCCAGTTTTCCTCCTCCCCAAAAACTCCAAAAGATACCTTTAATAGGCACAGTTTAAATCTCATACTCAGAATTTACATAAAGCACAGCAGCAGCAGAAAATTATATCCATATTACTCAGAATGGATAGTTTTCCATTATAGAATTCCTGGTTTGACATAAGAACCTGTAGAATTGACCAAGTTTTATGATGACAAACTCATTTACCTAGCATTAAAGTCTGAAAAGTCTGGAAGCTCTGCTGGCATCAGTATCATTCACACCTGTAGAATTATGTTATACTGGTGAAATAGCATTAATGCAACTGAAAATATTTCAGAATGCACCTATAGCCAAAGAGTAATGCTATCAATCTCTTCACAGAAAGGAAACTGATATTGTGAATCCAGAGATCACCGAGTCTTAAGTTATAAGGTAATTTAAAATTTTCCAAGGATTAGTTTACAAAATGGTTTTTGAAGGTCTAGACTCACAGAACAGCAAACAGATGCACATCATTCTAGTCCTCGGTAAGCAAAGGATTACTTTTTCTTCCTCCTTGTATTATTGCAAATACTGATGCCTGATACCCTCAGCTACCAACTTAAGAAACACTGAAACCATTATCTTGAAATCTAGCTTACCATCAGAAGAATGATGTGTACATGATTAAAGCTTTATTTAAGTTCAAAGTCAAGAAATAGACTATCTTTAAAAATACATGGTTAAGGAGAAAGAAAATATCTATGTTGAATTAAGAAATACTTAAGCAAAGTTACACATGACTAATAACTATGCACAACAATCTTTTTCAGTATCTATTAAATTTTTTCCTTTGCAAAGTCATTTACAGAAGTTCAACAAGTTAATCTTTTCATAAATGCTAGGCTGTATTTTCCAACCTGCTTCCTTCAATACGTTTTTACTTTATTTTCTAAGTGTTTAAATATGTGTCGTTTTAAAAGGAAGAAAGGTGGTATTTACTGTCCTCAAGATAAATGGGGATCAACAAGCCTATATTACATTCCATATATAGTTTCTGATTGCTATAATATTGCAGTGATTTGCAGATGGAATGAAACTTACTTTAGAAAGGGTAAAAACCTAAAAGGTCCTGCTGAAAGGAAAATACTAGATCACTGATTCAACTATTTCAAATGAAAACTTCCTATTAGAGATTCTAAGTAATATGAACATCGAAAAATATATGCCAGTAGCCTCCCACCCAAAATATGTAGGAGTCTCATTTCTGGAATCTATCATGTATAAAGATTTATACAGAATTAAAGATTTATTTTGGTGGCTTATAGATTTGAAATTTGAAAATTTCCAAGGGACTATCTTTAACCATAACGAGCAAAAAGGCAATCTCCATTTACTTCCACTCTGTCTCTATCCTGTAAGAGCAAAAATTAAAAAAAAAAAAGCAAGAGAACTTTTCATCTCCAGAGATTAGCATTTTTGACCATAGAGACCATATAGCAAAGGCATATATACACTAGTCCCAGCCACCAAAGTCTTTTCCACACTATGACAATAAAAGCAAGATTTAAATCTAATTCGCTAAAACTAATTTTTCAGATGAGACTTAACTGCATGGCCATTTTCATGAGGGGAGGCAGGAGGTTGCTATCCATTTGGACTAGCAGAATACACAACCACATGGAAACTTACTTTGAAAATTTCCAGAACAACTTTAGAAGTTCTTGTTTACTTTTTATGCCATATACAAGACACAACACACATTTATAGTCTCAATATTAAGAAAATTGAGAATTGAGCAGTAAAGTGCTAACATAGAAGGGGAAAGTTTAAGATATACTAGGGTATGCTAATAACTCCAGTTATTTTCAAAAAACATTCAGACTGCTTCAAATTCTATTCTGGAAACTATCTCTCCAAGCTGTTTTTTTGCCCCTTTTAAATGAGCTGATAGCTAACTATATAAACATACTTGGGGGGATGGGGACTTCTCAATCTCTACAAACTTTCAGAATGATTTGCTTCTAAAAATTATCAACAAATAATCCAACTAAACTACCTTCAGATGATGTGGTAGATCAAATTCCTTAATTTGTTTTATAGGTCTTCTGAAAGCCCTGCCCCTTAATCCAAACCAAAACTTTGATATTTCAAAGGAGTTCAATAAGATTCTGGTATTATAAATTCAAACTCAGTACTGCCATCTGTTACATTCTGTTTAAAAATTGAATCATTTTCCTGCTGAATAAAAATATCTTCCCAGGTCATTGGCTTGTTCTGAGGAGTAGATGTGGTCCCTACTGGAGGTTCTTTCCCAGCATCAACCTTATACCCAATACCATCATCCTTCATTACAGGCACAGTGCCTGACCTATCAGAGAGGTATGCATATTGTCTGATCTGTAAAGACCTGCACGGATGTAAACGATAAAGCTTCGAGTCTCCAGAAGGATCTTGACTATGAACTGACTTTATGTGTGAAGACATAAATTGATAGTTGATGAAAGATTTGCCACAGGCCAAACATTGATATCTTCGCTCCCCTGTGTGATGAATTTCATGCTTTGTGCGATATTCTGCAAGAGGAAATACCTTCTCACAGTAACGGCAAGGATACTTCTTTTCCCAAGAATGAATGTTAAAATGTCTCCGCAAGCTTGTCAGACAGACATATGACCTTTTGCATACAATACAGATATAATAGACCCTTCCATCTACTATTAACTCATAGTGATCGTCATGTTTTACTTTCATACGTTTGTTTGCCGGCTCACTGCTAGATGTTTTGGGTATCTCATTCTCAAGTCTGGCCTCCCCTTCATCAGGGTCGTCTTTGACAGGGATCACTATGTCATAAGTATCTTCACCGATATTTGCATAAACCTTGCAACCGGTCGACAAGCCTTCAATTTCAGTAGCTGTATCTAAAGTAATGATCTTCTGACCCTCCATTAGATGTTTTGATTCTAAACCTGGATCATTAGTGTTTCTAGTAATTATATCTGAAATTTTTAAAGAATTGGAAAGTGGCTCTTGCAGAAGTGTAGGGATCTGCATCTTCTGTATCAGTGATCCATCAAAAGTGGTATTTTTGGGGGTATCAGCCTGTGGGACCAAAGATGTATTACTGACAGCCGAATCTGGACTGGAGCTAATAGTGTCGTCATCATCATCTATAATTTCCTCCTCCTCCTCTTCATTGGCCTTGTTTCCTGTTAAAACAGCACTGTTTGGTGTCTGCTGATTCTGCACAAGTAAATTGACTGAAGGAGACATATGATTTGGAAGTGAAGGACTGACATTTGGTGGCGTAGTAAGTGGTGTCTGATTTAACAAAATAATGTTAGGAGTCAGATGTGTCGGGGCTGAAGATACCAGCAATTTTTCACTTCCTTGTGTTTGGCTCAGAGTTGCCTGATTCACAGGAGTAGGAAGTTTCTGAGTAGGTGTGTTAGTTGTTAAAGGGGGAGAGTTATTGCTAGCACAAGGTGCGGCATCTGAAATAGCAACAGAGCCTGGGTTAGGCTGGGCCTGTGCCACTGCACTGGTGCTTGGCAAAGTCTCCTTTGCAGGCAGAATCTCAGAGCAGAAAATAACGTCGTCATCATCATCATCTGAATCAGTAACAATAATTTTTTTTGTCTCATAATCTTCAGCAGATAAGGAAAAAGACTCTGTT